CCCCCCCCCCCCCCCCCCCCCCAAATACGCCTTGACGCTCAAAGGCTACACAGAACCGGAGCAGAACAAGACCCGCTGCTGTTCTGCAGAACTGGTGAGTAAAATTTAGCAGCTACATAAATATGCTGTTAAAATTAAATAAAAGGTTTAAAGTTTAGAACGTGGACTTTGTCGCCACAGGGCAGGTCTGCAGAAACGGAACCGAGTTGGACCAGAATCGAGCAGAACGGAGAGCCGCTGCTCTTCTGCCAGCTGGTGAGTAAAATTTAGTAGCTACATATACGTATGTTGCTAAAACGACGTAGGTTTAAGAGTTTAGAACATTGCAAGAGTGTGGGAAGGGTTTATAAAGCCTTAAATATACAGTATATATATATATATATATATATATATATATATCTATATATATATATATATATATATTAGTGTTTATATATACGTATATAAACACTAAAATAAATATAACGTCGCTACTTCACAGATCTTCACTTATTGCTGGGAGGTCTGGAACGTAACCCCCTGCAATAAATGAGGGACTTCTGCAATCATGAGTCATACCAGATTGGATACAATTTTTAGCCACATAAAATTTTACAGGGTGTCATTATTAAGATTATTAAGTTGCCCAGCAGTTGGATGGTATCTCACTGGGCTCTGACTGTTGGAGACTAGTTAACAATTTCAGCTTGACTAGGAAATGCATGACAGTGCACAAACTTTCCTCTGCAGGCTCACTGAACTTTGAGTATTTGCAACAAAGTGACCAGTTTTTATTATCACGGGTTAGTTTTGTGCACAGGGCTTACAGAACTGTCTTGGCTGTGCACATTATTTAACCGCCCACAATGCACCAACCTCGGCTTGCTTGCGCACCATAGCGCCCTCCATCTTTATGACTTAATTTACTGGAGTACACTTTTAAACGAAGATAGACAGATTTGGGTCAGGTTTTAATCAAATACAATTTACTACTGTCTTGGTTTATAGAGCAGAACGTTACTCTCTTAAGATGATTGGATAAAATGGAGACGGGTGCAATGCCTCTGTGACTATTGAGAAGTGAAAAGTTCATGCGCAAACTTTCTGAACAGGTTCAAAATTCACGTGACACAGCTTTGAGTCTCTGCAACAAAAGACCTCACTGACCTACACAAGGTGAGGGCAGTGAACAAGGCCAGGCTGATTCTGGCAGATCCTGATCATCACAAAATGCTGCTGCCCAGATGTAGGACAGACAAAAAAAAACTAATTCATCCCTGTATAAGGCTCCTCAATGAAAAATGATGATTTCTGTACTGTTATTTTAATGTCTAATATGTGCTTACTGACTGTGAAACAAATTGCCACTTGGGGATAATAAATATTCTTTATCTTGAACTTGAACTTGAAAGTGAGGAAATTGAGAACCCCGACAAATGTTGCAAGACTTTCTGGAGACTTCCTCACAAATGTTGCTCATCAGCTGCTTTCCAACCATTTCAACCCAGTGATGTTCTATTTTTACTGACCCTTGGAAGAAACTATGAGAACTTTTTGATGCAGTCACAGTTAATATTCAACACTTTTTATTGTTAGCATACTTATTTTTTTATTCAGAATGATAAAACCATGTGGGGGGAAACAGAAACTGTTGCAGACAGCGACTGCTGTTCAAGCTGATGTCCTTTGGTTGTTGGAGGAAAGCAAAGATAAAAACAGTTATATGTAGAAAAATGAGAGTGAGATAAAAGGGTGAAGTGATGGCGCCTGTCATCATGCTAACAATGCTGACTTGTCACTGGGCCTCCCTCCCTCTCTATGAGCACCAGCTCTGGACATTGCACGGAGAGAAATGTGCTCGGAGGGAGAACGGCAGAGCCAGACATGTGGAAGTTGTCATCCAGCATTGACCCCCTCTGTTTTCACTTTCTTTCCCACCTCTTCCCCTTCAGTCCATTTTTTTCTGCTCCCTCTGCTTCCACAGTCACTTTCCATGATTTAACACTTGATGTTTCCACTAACATGTTATTGTAATAAAAAACCCTCTTGTAATCCTGTTTGCAGCCAGACTTTTTTTTATTGTGATGAATTAAATCAGCACCATATGCTATCGCAATGTGATTTAACACTTCTGCGCTGTCTTATTGCTGTTTATTATCAATGCTGCGTACCAAATAATAACAATAAATTCCTTCCAAATAATGTCTTTTGGGACTTAAAGCTGAGTAGTGAGCAAACTCCCCCAGCAATGGTTTGTTAATATTGAGGGAGTCTTGTTAAAATGTTAATGGGGGGATTCCAAACAGATGATTTTGGTGTATTCAGCTGCATGATTGCCAACACACACAGACTTACAACGTAGAATCACACATTTTTTATTCCCTCCACCGCTTGTTAACTTCTCCTGTTTAACCAAACATGTTTGTTTCTTCTTTTGTTCTGCGTTGACAATTTGTGAGCCAGTTTGCTAACATGCTAAAGTGTCAGACTGTATGTTCTGTTGCGCCACCTTTTTTTTGTAATTATCACTCTCTGTCAATGTTTTTTGCCAGCGCCTGCCCGCGTGTGTGTTACCACAAAAAAAAATTCTCTTGACCCACAGAACAAATCTTTTAAAAATGTACAACTGGTTAAGCATTGGAGTCAATCTGATTAAAGATGGATGCCACAACCAACTGAACTTGGTAATTACAAAAATGGCTATAACTCATTTGGTGTGGTGGTTGCTGACATAGATCCCAACGCAAGTTCTGAGTGCTAGCAGGTTAAACAAGATGAAAAGATGATTGATGATGTTGCCACTATCTAGTTGGAGTAAACTCAGTGTATTAGCAAGATACTTTATTCCAACTTTCAGGAAATATTTATTCAAAGTATATCTAGAAGTACTTAACTTTTGAAGCCAACCCAATTCAATATGGCTGCTACATCCAGCTGACTTTAGAAAACACAAAACGGCTATAAAGTAGTCCCTCGCTACTTCGCGGTTCGACTCTTGCGGACTCGCTCTTTCGCGGTTTTTCAAAGTAAGAGTGAACATGACACAAAACGAGTTGATTGATGGATGAGCCACATGAGCGGCATGGATTGTTTATTTAAAATAAATTATTTTAAATGATTTAGCACCTTTGTGCAGCCCACAGGTGCAGGGAGAAGCTCCATCTGCAGCCTGTCATGATCTCTACTCTCTGCCACCTGCAGCGCTCTGCCACGCCCACATTTCTGCTTCGTGAAGGGTTAACCCTTTGCTGTCCTACTGTGCTTCTCTTCTCTACAATTAAAATTTAAATATGCTAATATTTTAAATAAACAATCAACTGTTTATTTAAAATATTACAGTATTTAAATTTAAATTGTTTTCTTACACAGAAAGAGGGAGATTGGGAGAGAAAATTTGACTTCTGTATGCCTACTTCACGGTTTTTCACATTGTGAGGGGCGTGGTCTCCTAAACCCCATAATAAACGAGGGACTACTGAATTTTAGAAAATTTTAGAAATAAAATGGTACATTTTGTTGTGGTAGTCGTGAGTAATTTGCACACACCTCATTGAGCACAACTAGTACAAAATATTTGCTCAACGCTTTAACATCATCGTTTGGAGTCAATCCTGTTTGTCTTTTAGCAAAATATCTCACAAATCACAGGCTAGACTTTAATGAAACTCTTAGGAAACATTCACTGATGATTATTTATGATAATAATCTGAACGGATTCCTAGTCAATAAAGTTTAAAATGGCTGCCGCAGCTAAATAACACTTGTCAACACAAAAACCAGCTATATTTAGTTGATTTTGCAGATTCTCAGCTAAAAGTTGATGTGGTAGCAGCTGAGAGTCAATCACTGCATACTTGAAGTGAGGCTTAAAATAACATTATTTTAAGGTTTGTCCTAAGTGGCAGGTGCTTCAGAAAATGCTACACCTTTAAATTATTTCAACAGCAGTGCATGTTCTCATGAGGTTGTATACGCATCCAGACACCCTCCTCCCACATGTGTGCTTGCATGCGTGCGTGCACGTTTGTGCAGGGTCATATCAAAAGGAGGAAACTCACTTGTTGACAGGAACTCCAATGGCCTGGAGGTAGAGCCACTGGCTGCAGTAATGCAGGTAGAGCCTCACAAACCACATCAAAGCAAACAGCAGCATAATGAGGCAGAGCTGCTGAACGGAGTCATGCCAGCTACCAGGAAGTTGTTGTCGTTGCCGCAGCAACGGCAGGCCCAGCTCAGACGGCAGCATGCGCAGGGCCAGGCGGACACGATCCGACAGTCGTGGAGCACAGGAACCAGGTCCAGTTGATCTGTTTTCAAACGGATAATCATTCACAACATTTCTGGTTTCGGTTTCAAATAAAAGATTACATGTTTCAGGTGCTCATTTGAACCATATTAAAAAGTGCATCTTGAAAGAGTTCACTCCAGGACTTCTGCAGATATATTGATATGCAATTCTGAAATGTGAAAGTCCCTGCAGAGTCTGCCAAAAGGCACATGGGAGCTTGAGTCACATGACTGACCTGCATTAGGTCGGCCACAATCTGTGCAGGTAAACAAATATGGTGGAACTGAATAAGGGTAGAATCTCTGAGAGGACGTTTGAGGGAAAATGAGAGTAAATCTACTGCTAATTGTGACAGAGAAACGGAAAAACGAGCAAAACAGCTACCAAGAATAATAATCAGAGGTCCAGTGGAGTGGTGGAACGCCTCAAAGACAGAGCTTGGCACTCAAACACATGGATTTGGTAAATTTATCATTTCAAGTTTGGTAACTAGAGTCTAATGCTCAAAACGTTTACAACTCACACCCTAAATTATTTCCAGTTAGTGCTTCTAGTTACATCTTCTGTAAATTATTGGACTTCTCCATTTCAAGAGGGGCCGAGATGAGGTAGAGGTAGGGCAGCCGACCTGGGACCAAAAAGTTGTGGTTCGACTCCCAGCCATTCCCACATGTCGTGGCGTCTCTGAGCAAGACATCAAATCCATGAGTGCTCCAGAGAGCTAGCGTATTCTTCGGACTATAAGGCGCATTAAACGAAACAAAACAGTCAGATAAGTCAAACTGTATTCAACTCGTTCACATTAACCATAAAACATCGATTAGAGGTCAGTAAGCACAACCAGAATTAATACATAAGGTGCACCTGACTCTAAGGCTCACTGTCGATTTTTAAGAAACAAAGGATTATTTTTTGTGTCTTATAGTCTGAAAAATACAGTAATTCCACCACTGTTTGGGAACATACAATGATGACGGTCTCAGACTTCCCTCCCTTTCAAACAACACTTTCATGGACGTCGCCAATGTTGACCTATTTTCAGTCACTTCAGCTTTTTTTCTTGGCAAACAAGGACGCGCAATAGTTGTTTACAATTTTTTGTTAGATTGAGGACACGTTATTTCTGGTAGTTTGCAAACAAGCATGTTAAACTCCTTCTACGCGGCACTGTTCCTGGTGTCAGTGTTTCCCGTCATGGGACGCTGACATTTTTATCACATCAACTTCCCAGTTGGATTTAATGATGTGAGTTTTTGAATAACCGCGCAAACACATCGTTGCTTTATTGCATTACAAGACATCAAATGTTAGGCAGATGCGTTAAAAGTAGGGAAATGTAGTATTCAAATTGACACACATTTATGCGTGTACACAATAGGTTACTCTTTCCCTCTTGTGCACACACACACATACACACACCCACAACACACAGACAGATAGGAATCCCTTCCAGCAGTGCTCAGCTTTCCTCAGCACCTCTGCCTCCTCTGTGCCGCCCTTTGTTAGGCCTGCTCAACTATTCCCTTTCATAGTGAGGGCACAGATGGAGCAGAGTGAAGCAAGAGAGGGAAAGGAAAGGAAATGTGTATATTAAATTAGCGTGTAGTGATTGATTGTGTCAAGCAAATATCTATGACTCCTCTGTCATCTGGTTAACAATAATTCTAACTCGGCAATAGAAGGTTGTTTACAGTGCAGCTACATGGTTAGCATTGCAGAATGTGACTTTAGGCCCTTAGCCTGTGGACATCCCTGTGTCTCACCACTGTCTCCCAGAGCACAGTTGGAATTCACTTTGTAGTGTGTGTGTCTGGGGAGAACGATGCACCGCCTAAAGACGAAAAACAGAATCAATTGTGTTGCTCCCACACCCGCTTCGCCAAATAATTAGGCTAGACTCGCATCAAAATGAGGCGTTGCATTTTACTTCCTGCCCATGCCACTGCTTCGGTGCTCGCTCAGTTATTTTTTAAAGAGAACGGCTCCTCGGCGAGGTGTCTACACTTTCTGAAGTGTTAAATTACTTGAAGTTGAAGTTCCTTCAAGCATGCTCACACGATCAGCAGCGTAGCGGCGCAGTCCATGAGGGGAAAGTCGACATTTGTTCACAGAATGCTTAGTCAACAGTTTGGGCTGATAAATATTCAGATCTGAGCTGACGTCAACTAAAGTAGAAACGATGAAGATGTCTCATGAAGCTCGTTATGGCGCAGCTCCTTTTTTTAAATTTAAACTATGATTTATTTATTTTTTTCTCATTGCATGACCTTGTACACATAGCACTGATCTTTATCACAGGTTGCTATAAGCCAAAGAAAGTTATCATTGAATTTGCATCTATACTTTGATATTTGGAATCAAACTGATTTAAGATAGCCACCTCAGCTAAGTGGCCTTAAAAAAAACCACAGAAACAGATTTAACAGTCAATTTTTATAGATGTTAACTTAAAATGTGGTGTAAGCGGAGACTACCGTACTTTCCACCATATTAGTGGCATCAGTCCAAATATGTGTAATAAAATGGAGAAAAACATGAATAAGTCGCATCTTTTATGCGTCACCGCTGATCACCCGGAAACGTGAGCCGGTGTTGTGCCAAAAATCGATTGGCTGCCAAATGGCGTACGTGGGAGCGTGCACGAGAGGACTTCAACAAGACTTTAACACTTAAAAACAATTATTTGTTTGCTCAAAATTGTAGCAAAGGTGTGTCTCAGTTGAACTTTTTCTTAATAAATGCACTGTATTGGTCAAATCAGCTGCGTTTCAAAAACCGATTTGCGGTTTACTGGAGCGTTAAGCGATTGGACTCAATGTGCATTTCGTCAAAATTTAACAAGCAAACCACCTAAAAACAATTGTTTGCTCGACGTTATAGTAAAGGTGTGTCTCAGATGAACTTTTATGTAATAAATGCTCTTTAATTTCCACCACATGTAACACAAGTGATGCGAACGACAATAAAGAATCTCTGACATTAATGGTCAAATCAGCTGCATTTCATCTGGGCGGCGCGGTGAAATCCAGATGATTTGACGTTTGCGACAGGAGTTCTGGAATAAGACAAAGGTGGCTTTGTATGGCAAGCCAAGTGTCTCATTAATAGTCACTTTTACCTATTAATGAGACACTTGGCTTGCCATATTAGTCGAAGGTCCTCTAGTGGCTGAAAATGGTAGTGTTCAATATCTTCCATGTCAGAATGAATGAAATTGTCAGATCTCAGCCAAAAATTGGGTTATAAATATGGAAATAATAATAATAATAAGTTGCTTTGCTGTATAAGTTACAGGTATGCAAATTATGCAAAAAGATGCTACATATACAGCGAAAAGTAATCCCCTATCTTCTGAGCGCTAAAATATATTTTTTGATACTTTTTATAAATTAGAACACATGTTTAAAGCAACATGAAGTATTTTCTGTAATTATTGGAAGAAATGCAATAATTTAACCCCGTCAGAAACACCACAAAATGAATAAATGTGTACTGATTTCAATGAGGACACCTCCATTCCAACCATCACCACGGCTTCCTTGGCCACATGCACGGTGTGAAACCACTTTATGCATGTCTGCAAAAGTGGAATAAGAGCATAGACAAAAAAAAAAAAAAGCAGTGTGTCTCAGACACAGGCAAGATGCTGCCCTGTCTAGTAGCATTAAACACAAACAGCAAATTCAACCCGACGTCCGTCTTTCATAATGAAGATATTGATGATGCATGAAAGAGCGATATTTTTAGACACCCTTGTGTGGCAGCATCTTTCAAAAGAGGTTGGTAACACGAAGGGAAATCTGTAATCTTAGCTGAATTTGCTTCATTATGGTGGCTTCAATTGCAAACATACAGAGAAAAGAAAGAATGGGTGCTGGAGGTATAGGGTTTTCATTTCATCCCAATGTAACAGCTTGTCTCTTGGACGATATGTGGCATTACGATACAGGAATGGAACCAACCATTTTAGCAAGCATATAGTGGCGCATAATGCTATATATTAATTGTAGTTGCTTCTGTGAAATTGAGGCCAGAAGCTGTTCTCTTATTTTTTATGTTGGTGTTCCATTCCCATGTCACCAAAGCATATATATAAAAAAGACCCATCTTTTCCAAAGCTTTCCAGACTCTGCCAAGGCCTGATTTAAATGTATGCATCTGTCAGCTGCTGGAGAACCATCTCCTCAACTGGTTTTCTCACTTGCTATCCTTAATGTTGAATGACACAACCACGGATCAGAGCTGGAGTTTTAAAATAATACAACGTTAATGGCAAGAATAGATAAGTATTAACCCTTTTAAGTGACATGGGTAATATTATAGATCAAAATTTACAGTAGAGTACAAATTTTAATGGCACATGGACAAAATGAAAACTCAAAGGTAAAAAAAACACACTCACAAGCAACTTTATCAGGTTCACCTGTTCGACTAGTTGTTAACACAAATAGCTAATCAGCCAATCACACAGCAGCAACTCAATGCATTTAGGCATCTGGAAATGGTGAAGATAATTTGCTGGGGGTTTTAACGAGATTAAAGTGACTTTTAATGTTCCAGACAGGTTGGTCTGAGCGTTTTAAATGATGAGCTCTATAATCGTCAGTAAGATTTACATAAACGGGTCTGGAAAAGAGAAAGTATCTAGTCGGCAGCTGTAGGGTGAACAAAAATTGCCTTGGTGATGTCAAAGATCTGCGAAGAATGGACACACTGGTTTGAGATGATAGAAAGGCAACAGTAGCTCAAAAAAAACACAACCAAGGTCAGAATACCATGTCTGAGCACACAACATATCCAACTTGTTTGTTTTCATTCAGCATTTATTTATACAAGCTTGTCTCATTGAGCCACGAGGACTCATTTTAGAGGGACCTGCTACAGACAGAACATATAAAGTACAGACAACAATAACAATAAACTACAGTAAAATCCAGGTAAAGAAAGTAGTGTTATAAAACAATAAATCAGGGTGCTGTAAAACAAGGTAAAGTACTAAAAAAAACAGAACATATTTGG